CACACACACACACACACACACACACACACACACACACACACACACACTTTGTGTTGCACCTTCTCCCAGTCTGTCATTTTATTTAAAAACCTTTTGAATTTTTAAAAAAGATATTATTTGACGAGAGAGAGAAAACATAAACAAGCTGAGTGGCAGGCAGGAGAGGGAGAAGCGGACTCCTCGCTGAGCAGGGAGCCCGAGGTGGGGCTCGATCCCAGGACCCTGAGATCACGACCTGAGCTGAAGGCAGACGCTTAACCACCCAGGCATCCCCGACTCTCCCAGCCCCAGTTTGCCATTTTAAATACCAGTATCTTTCAGTAGTCTTTTGGAGGGTCTAATTTGAGTTTGAGATATTCTTTTGTGTTTTCTTGTTAACTTGAAATGGGACAGAATTGCAGTGGCCTGGTGCCTTGCTCTTCTAGGTTCTCCAGGTCTGTCAGGAGCCTTACTCATCTGCCACTTTCTTCCTCAGCACCTCCACCCCTGCAGTCATGTGCACTCTTTCCACCTCAGAGGTCTCTGGACTCTGCTTCTCCTCATCTCTGTGTCCGTGTAGGCTAGGCCCACTGCGGCTCCACATGGCAGTCCCCTGCGGTGTCACAGGAAGCTGTCAGGTGTGATACCAACTACTGGTTACCAGTTATTAGAGGACTGGGTCGCCTGGCTGGCTCAGTCGGGTTGAGCAGGCAACTCTTGATCTCAGGGTTGTGGGTCTGAGCCCCACGCTGGGTGTAGAGATTACTTTTTTTTTTTTTTTAAAGATTTTATTTGACAGTCAGAGAGCACAAGTAGGCAGAGAGGCAGGCAGAGAGAGAGGAGGAAGCAGGCTCCCCTCTGAGCAGAGAGCCCAATGCGGGGCTCGATCTCAGGACCCTGGGATTATGACCTGAGCCGAAGGCAGAGGCTTTAACCCACTGAGCCACCCAGGCACCCCAAGATGACTTTTTTTTAAAAAAGCACTAAAAAGGCGCCTGCCTGGGTGGCTCAGTTGGTTAAGCGTGATCCTGGGGTGCTCAGATTTGAGCCCCAAGTTGGGCTCCCTGCTCTGCGGGCAGTCTTCTTCTCCATCTTCCTCCAACTCCTGCTATCTCTCTTGCTCAAATCAATAAATAAAATCTTAAAAAAAAAAAAAAAGCACTAAAGGACTCATCATTTCTTTCAAAAGGTCTTTAGAAATCAGTGAGAGAGGCTCGAGGCTGTCCCAGTGTCTCCCGCATTTGCTAGTATTTCCAAATGGCAAAGAGGTCCCCCTCTGCCTCGGAGGGCTGCACGGACAGGTGGGGTATGCATTGTTGTGGAAGAGGGCAGTCAGAGATCCCCCATGCTTTCCCTCCCTGCCTACTTCTTTTGGTTGCACCGACACTGAGCTGTAGCCACAGGATGTGCCTCATGGCAGAAAAAAAGGCTGAGCACTCTGGGGTCTTGCTGCCCTCTTGGACAGTCACAGAAAGCACCCGAGAGACCTGCTTGTGTGAAGAGGTAGAGGTTTATTGAAATATAAACATTCGAGAACATGTAGGATAGAAAATAACCACCACATATACAGACACTTGCTGCAAGAGGACGTCTGAGGTATTTATCACTGCCTAGGCTACCCATGTGCTAGCACATTTTCCTGGCCAGAGTACAGAGAGACAGGGAGGGGAGGGGTGGGGAGGGGCCGGAGCAGTCCTGGCCCACGGCCTGCACTGTGGCCTTCAGGGAAAGCTTCTCTTGCCAGGGTCCCTGTTCCTGGGATACCTGCTGGCATCCCCACTCTTGGGCTTTCAAGCTGCCTGGGGAAGGGGAGAGGATCCAATGACCAGAAAGCCACAGTATGCTGTCCCTGCATCCTCCGGCTGGGAAGAGTCCATCCTTCGTGACCAAACCCCTGAGAAAGACAAACTGGCCAAATGCTGTGACACTTTCAGGTGGGCCCAGTGCCAGCCAACTGGGCTCCTTCATGGCACCAGATCCCAGACGCCCTTCTCTGCCCACCAGAGTGGGTAAGGTGGGAAGGCTCCTGAGGCCAGAAGAGGGTCAGGCCCCAGCGTCAGGGCTGTGTGAGAGTGTGAGCGAGTGCATGGAAGGCTGGGGAAGGGGCGAGAAGATGGCAGTCCAGCAGAGCTGCAGCTCACCAGGCTGAGGTAGCTGTTTTGTGCTCAAGCTTTTGATTTCCCTTTCCTTTCATAGACAGGGCAGAATGCTAGTCATTCGAGGGCTCCTGCAGGCGGCGTGGCCTGTCACCACCAGAGCCTGATGACGTTACAGTGGGTGGTGTTCCAGGAGCTTTGCAGGGCCTACTCAGTGAGAGGTGAGCCTAGCGTGGCAATCACTCATCTTTCCAACACTGGAGCAGCCTATTCCAGCCCAGGGTCCCAGAGGAGGACGGAGTTCTCCCCTCTTCTAAGAGCATCACCTTATCCCCTGGGGTGGCTCAGCCTCTCTGGCCTGCCCCTACCCTGAGATGGGAATGCTGAGTGAAGGGGAACCATTCTGTCCCCAGCCTGGGGAGCCAGGGAGGGGTGTGGGACAAGCCCTGCTCTAGCAGGAAATGGGTCAGGGGCCATCTCCCGAACTGTGTGGTCTCAGGACCCAACCTTCGAGAGCATAGGCCTCTTATTCCACCGCCTTCCCCACCACTGTGATCCCTGAGTCATCTCTCCTGCCTGCCTCCCCGCCTCCTCACTGGGGTTTTAGCAGAGGGCTGGAGGGGCTGGGGTACAAAATGTTTGCTCGGCTTTGGGGGTAATCTGCTTTCATTTCTTTGGTGCTACAATAACAACAATAAAAATTAAAAACAAAAAAGTCAGCAAAACACATATAAAAAAGATTTCAGAGATGCAAATACTTCCTGAAGAATCAAACATCAACAATTACAAATCTGAGGTATTTCAATGAACCTGACATCAGCAGGTCTGGGGATGCTGGGGCTGAGGTGGCCCCATGAGAAGGGAGGGCCCAAGGGACAAGTGGGCTGTTCTTGGGAGAGCTGGCCAACAAGGGTGAGTGAAGGCGTGAGGTCTGGGAGGGCCAGAAAAGGGTCAGTGTGAAACGGGTGCCAGGGCTTGCCTGGGCAGCCCCCTGTGGCTCTGCCTCTCCCTCAGCAGGTACCCAGTAAGCCCTGGACCTTGAGGACTGCCCTCGTGTGCCCCTTCCTGGGACCACTCCAAGGGGAGTATAGGGCCTTGAGGACTGTCTCAAGACTTGAATTTGAGGGACCCACACCCCTGGAACCAAACATGGTAGGGAAGGCAGGTTAGGAGGGCCCCATCCCATGCTCAGGAGTGAAGGGCCACAAAGGCATGGTCTTCGGCTCTCACAGCCCCACATGGGAGTTAAAGATCGGAGGACTGAGCAGGGGAAGAGGCCAGTGACCCTGCGGTCATGACAGAGGGAAGGGGAAGGGCAATAAATTAAAGGGAAAGGGCTGTGGAGGGCCTCCAGCCCTGTGCCGGCTTACAGATTGTCGATACACCGTGCCCGGGACGGGAGGTGGCCTGGGAACCAAGGAGGAAGGAAGCTGGACGCCGGCAGACCCCGCCCGGTTCTCCAGGACGATCCCTGATTGGACAACGCTGCCCTGTCCTGCCCCTGCAGCCTCTCCCTGTCCCCAGAGTACAGCAGGACCTGAACGAAGCCTGGACAGACGGACACGTCCAAACTCTAGTCTGGCCAAATGGTGTTTGACATGGGCTCCGTGAGATGAGGTAAATTCTGTGCATCAACCTCCTTCACTCTCGACAGGAGAGTGGGGCGTGGGGAGCTGGGTCCTGCCCCTCAGAGGGACCAGCTGGTGGAGGGCTCGGCGCTGGGGGTGCCCCGGGACGAGGTAGGACTTGGCGAGCAGTGAGAGCTGCTGCTGCCGCTGGCGCTGCCACCCACGCTCTGGGGGGCGGGCCCCGCGATCAGGTGGACCACAGGCTTCTGGGCGAACAGCACACCTGCAGGAGCGGCAGGGGGAGTGAGTGTGAGCAGCTGAGGAGACATGGGGCCGGTGTGCTCTGGCCCCGCAGGTGTGCGCCCTGCACACCCCGCGCCTCCAACCAAGTCCCGCATGCCTTCCGCCTTCCCCCTTCAGGTGCTCCAGGGCCGGCCAGGGGGCAGAGATGTAAGCCATGCTTTTGAGGAGATGTCCCCAGTGCCCTGTGGGTGCAGTGGTACGGGGGATGGAGGGAACCAAGAGCAGGGCTCAGAAGGCAGGGCCGGGCTGGTCAGGAAAGGCTCCGGAGGAGGAGAGCGCGCCTGGGCTGGCAGAAAGCATGGTCAGAGGAAGGGCTGGCGTGCCAGGCAGAGCAGAGCCAGGCAGGGCTGCGGCGGGGAGGCCGCCTGGCAGTGGGGACTCATGAGCAGGAGGAGGGGTACAGAAGGCGAGTGCCCGCTGGGCAGGCCACAGAGACGGGAGGCCTGTGTGCCTCTTGGGGGAAGGGTCTCACCCTGCACCTTGGTGACGGGGATGCCCCTGAGGGTTTTTAGAAGAAGAGACATGATGAGATCTGTGTTTTAAAATGCTCTCTGTGGGGCTGGGAGGAATTGGGGCCTGCCAGGAAGCTACTCCAACAGCGGGGAGAGGCCCAAACCAGGGCAGTGGGGTGCGGGGCAGCAAGAGAGAGGGAGAGAGCAGAGTAGCAGGGTCCAAGCGGCTCCGGGGGCCTTCGGGGACAACTTCCTGGTTCCTGGCCAATGCAACTTGCACACCCACTGACAAAGGGCACAGGTGGGAACAGTGGACCAGGGGTTGAGGCAGGTGAGGTCTGGGAAACCTTCAGCTCTCTTCTGACTGCTCCCCGTTCTGAGAGAAGGAGGCATTTATCCCCTCCTTTCTCCTGAGAGAGGATGACAGCATTATTAGCTCCAGACACAGATCCCCTTCTTCCCTGCTTTCTCCGCGGACCCACTCACAGCCTCCCAGACTCCTAGACCATTGACCACCACCAGATGGCAAAGGACACCTAGGTCTTGCCTGCTGGCTCGCCTGGTCTCCTCGAGGGGCCCCCCATGTCAGGCAGAGGCCTTACCCATCTGACTGGCCTCACTGCGTCTCTGCAAGCTGCCCTCCAGGAACTCCGGCCCTTCCTGGGCTGCAGCCCCGACGCCCAACGCCAGTGGCCTAGCAGGGAGCCAGCCAGAGCACGAGGCCTGCAGTGCGGCGCCCCACGGGGGCCCTGCACCCAGCTCCCAGAACAGGAGCATTCAAAGGGATAGAGCACTTCCTGAGGAAATGGCCCAGTGTGATGGAAGGTGCAGCTTTAAGACCCTCCATGGGGCACGTCCCGGGCCCGCCATCTAACACGAGGCCAGCAGGCCTGGGCTCCCCCGGCCCACCCATCAAACTGGTCGTAGCAAGAGTCGGTGGGCTCGTTCCCAAACTCACACCTAAACCAAAGACATGGGGATGGGGAAAGGGCTGGTTTCTAGCAACTGGAAAGACCTGGTAGAGGTGCTAAACGCACCAGCCAACAAACCAACCACTGCCCAACTAGAATGAGAGGGACAACTGGGAAGGACTGGGTGGGATCCTACGCACAGGGGCTGCTTCGGCCACTCAGATTCCTCCGCCTGCCTGTCAGCCCTTGGTCAGTTGTGAAGAAAGGGAGCAACAGGCGGTGTTCAGGGAGAGCGGGCTTGAGCCGGCTGGAGGAGAGCGGTGCGTCACAGGACCCTGACGGCAGTGGCGGAGGTGGCTCAGGACATGATATTTAGGGAAAGGGGATGGAGTCGATTACAGAGCTTCACACTCAAGGGCAGTTGCAATTAACAAGCCAGCCACTGGTCAAAAGGGTCAGACGGAGGGTTTCTATGGTTCTGTGAAAGCTGGTTGGGGGAGAACCTGTCATCCCATTAGCAACCCTCAGCTTCTCCTAGGCTGGAAAAACCTCTTAACCATTGAGACTACATATAAGAAAGCCAGCCCTAGGAAGGGGTTCAGACGGGAGGGTGACAAGCAGGGCCAGCCAGGGCCACCATGCTGTGGCCGCCCTCAAAGCTCCGAGAGCCTTACCTGCGTAGGTGGTGCCATCGATGTCCACAGACATGTTGATACTACCGATGCTGCCTGTGGCCAGGTTCAGTGCTGCAGCCGAGGCCTCCGATCTGTCTTCTGCTGGGGACAAGGGAGACAGCAGGGCTGGTCAGGCCTCCTGGCACCGCGGTGTCCTCTCCAAGACCCTCCCGCTCTCCTGGACTGGCCACAGCTGGCCGAGGCCTCCCACGTCCAGAAAGCATCCTTACAACCTTCTCCTGAGGGTCAGACCTGGCAAGAGAAGCCAGGCTTGCCAATGGCCTATCACTTGCTTTCTCCGTTCTCGGCTGAGCCACTTACTCCCCTGCTTCCTCTGTTGTCCAAGGAAAGGGATCACAGGCAGCAAGGCACTGACCCAGCTCCCAGCTGTGCACTGACACTTTCAACGTGATTTGATCAACCCTAACTAAGCACCCACCACCCATCGGGCTGGGGAACTGGAGATGAGGAAGACATAGTCACTACCTTAGAGAACCTGCCTTTCCTCCTCCTCCTCTCCTTAAGTGGAGAGGGTCCTCAAGGAGAGGCTCTGCCTGCCCAGTGTGGGGCTGGCACCTGTAACCCATTTCAACCTGACCATCTGTGCAAAGCTGGCACCCGGGGCCTCTGCCTGGCTCACCCCAGACTCTGCCCTTTCACCATGCAGCCAAGAATTCTGCCAGATGAGCTGTTTTTCATGTCTGGCTGCTGCAGGACCAGAGGCACCGGCCCTGAGAGGGGAGGGAACAGAGTGGAGCTGTTGCCGCCAGCGTCCTTCTGCTCCTCAGCTGGGGACAGGGGTCAGGGAGTGCTGCCGGCAAATACGCACAGCCCCCTCCGCACCGGACTTCTTCCCATCACGTGCTTGCTAAAGTTTGCTCTGCGATAGAGTCAAGGGCAAGAATAGCAAAGAAAATGTGCATGGGGTTGTGGGGAGAAAGGAGGAACAAGGGGCATGGAGTGTGTGATTCTGGAGGAGAAGGCAGGGCACCTGAAGAATGAGGAGGGCAAGGGAAGGATGCCAACGATGCCGCTAAACTTGCACTTCCTCCTTCCCCTGGTTCAGAGGGTCACAGGCAGCCTGGCCTGAGGCACTTGGCCTCCTTGTGGAGGCCTGTGACTGGAGGTGCTGCCTTCCGCCCACAGCCCAGATCTACATCCGGGGAGGCACTGCAGGGGAAGGCTAAGCCCTTTCATTTGGACAGATCAAAAGGCTGGTGAGGAAGAGAAGCACAGCAGCTGTCCCTGAGGGCCTCTGGCCCCTCCACCTTCTAGAACTCCTCTTTTTGGCTGGAGAACAGGGTGCTGCCTGAGGCAATTTCTGGTCAGCTTGGTGAGCTGAGGTCCCAGGGGCCACAGAAGCCCCATGTGGCTTTCTGGCCCTAAGATGGTTCTGGGAGGTCAACGGGCCCCTCAGGGGAGCCCAGGTCGGCACCCAGAACGGGGGAGGCCCTGCCCGGGGCCCAGCGCTCACCCCTGCCGTTGATCCTGATCTTCATGGGCAGCTGCCGCGCCATGGTGAACAGGCTGCGCTGGAAGGCCTGCTGCACCAGGCGCTGCTCCTCCTCTGACAGCCGGGGTGCCTTCTTCTCGGGGGGCTCCCCCGACTCTAGTCGCTCCCGCAGCTGCTCCAGCGTGGCCGTCCGGGTACCGGCCTGCTGGCCTGCCAAGCTCACGGGCACAGCCAGGCGATTTGGCACGGGCACTGTCGTCACCGGGACTCCATCACCTGGCAAAAGCACCAGATTCACGGATTCACCACCCTCTTCCCCACCCGACAGTGGGCTCTGCCACTCCCGCCCTGCTCACCCTCCTCCCCCTGGGCCCTGCAGACCTTTCCTGAGAGTGGCTGCAGGGGATATCCGAGGGCTGCTGGCGTTGGCACCACTGCTGGAGCCCAGCCCGAGGATGGGGAAGCGGATCTTGGGTGGGGAGAGAAGGGCAGGGGCCCCAGCGGTGGCGGCAGCAGGCGAGTAGCCAAGGAGGGAGGAGCTGTAGCTGGGCCGCCGGCCCTCCCTCCGGTTGCCATCGATGGCCGCCTGGAGCTCTGCCGGGGAGCTCAAGGCTTTCTTCTCACACTCATAGGCATAGAGATACTTCATGTACCTGGAGGGAAGGAAGGAAGGGAGGAGAATAATCCAGAATGGTACCAGAGGCCCCCCAGTTTAAGTTTACGGCTCTCTGTGGGACAGGCCTCTGGGACACAGGATCTCTTGGCAGAAGAGAAGGTCCAGGGCGGCCGGATGCCCTGTCCCAGGCCCCTCCAGCTGCTACTCAACACTGTACCAAACTCTGCTCCAACTGGAGAAAACCGTTCTTTAAAAGAAATAAAGGACATCTTCACTCACGTTTTCTGTTTGTTTTGGCACCATTTTAGGTGCTGTTTAGACACGTTTTGGCAATGTCTTCCTGGCTCCTAGATGCCCTCACCGTTCTGAGTCAGCCAGGTCAGGTATGAGCAATGTTTCCTGTCCTTCTTTGCATCACATATCGTAAGCAGCACTTCTCTATCCAAGAACCTTGAGAGAAGGAGCCCTTCCTTCTAGCGTACTGCCTCACTGATGCTCATTCCTTAGTCTCCAGAGAGCAACACCGGGTGTGATCCAGTGAATGGATTCCCCTCGGCCCTCACTCTTTGATGCTACTCTTGGTTCCCCTGCTCCTATGACCCCCATAATTAACTCAAATGATGACGAAAATAGGTCCAAATCCCAGGTCCTCTGTTGCTGGGCAAGCGGAGTGTCGGGTAGGAGGGGCTAGGCTTAAGGCGGAGGTGCTGCGTCAGAAACAATGTCCTGGAAAGAGTGGCTATGGGGCCAGAAGCCCAGGGGGGAATCTCAGTTCTACCACTACTAGCTGGTATGGCTTTGATCAAACCTTTTAAACTCTGAGACTCCGTTTCTGTTTCCTGAAAAATGAGATAACACCTACCTCACAGGATTGATGGTGAGGTCTGAAAGAAACAGAATGGCAAAGTAGCCTAGGGAGACACTTGGGAAATGGTGGCCCTCAGGATCACTCAGGTCTAGAAAGGGATTCGTCTCAGAAAGCTCCTGGCTACGTTGAGAATTCCTCCCTTCTTGCCCTCTGTACAGTGGAATTTCCTTCCTTCCTCTCCTCTAGGTTAAAACATCCCCTTTCTCCCAGGTCGGCTTCCTTTCCCCAGGGCCCCGGCCACTCACTGGGTCCTCAGGGTAAAGGCGGCGCTGGTGATTGATGTGGGCAGGTTCAGGCCTTTGGTGATCTCCCGCCAGATCTTCTTGTTGATGATCTCCACCAAGCCCCCCTTCTCTGTCACCAGCTTATACAGCATATACAGGTCCAGGATCTGCTTGGCCATGATGGGGATTCGGTTGATGGGGGTCCCTGGGATTGTCCAAATAGAGAAACAGCGTTGTGTCATCAAGCAGAGAAAGAAGACATATGCATGTGCCCAGCTTTTGCGGAGTTGGAAATATGTTCATGAATCTGCTTTAATCGGACTCAAATTCCCAAAGCTGGAAGCTATCAGACTAGCTGCCAGTTCTCCTTCGGATGAGCAGAAAGACAGGTCCGACTCATAGGCTCTGTGAGCCTCTCTGGCTCTGTCTTCCCCTCTGTAAATAAGAGGGCTGCACTAGATGGCTTCAAAATTGGGTTGTTGTGGGGTTTTATTTTGTTTTTTTTTTTTTTTTGACTAGCAGGGTGAGTCCAGATTCTTTCCTAATGATGTGGTAACTCACACTCCTCTGGGGCCTTCAGAAGATGCTGCTTTGCGCCCCCCCGCCCCCCTACATGCACAGCTCTGTAAGCACAGCTCTGGCGCACTTTGTAACAGTGTACACAGTGTAACAGCGTTTTCATTTGCATACCGCCTGCTTCCTCCTCTCCTGCAGCAGGACAGAGAAATGTTTTCTCTCCCTTGTCTCCACCGAGTCAAAGGAGCTGCTGGACACCATGTCTCCAGGGGATGAAAAGCCACTGAATGACTCTCTCCCCACTAACCGCTCCATCCCTCCCTGGCCTCTGAAAGAGGGAGGGTCAGAGTGGCTTCCGCCACTGGCCCCGAAGGGAAGTGAGAGGAGCCGGGGACTTGATTAGGAAGCCTGGCACCAGGCAGGAAGGCCCACTAATGAGCACCAGGGGACGGCAGGGAGGGCGGGCCCGGGGCCCTTTCACAGGCCGCTGGGATGCTCGGCAGGAGGCGTGATGGATGACTGTCATTTGGCAGCCTCAGGATTAATGATCCAGAGGTCAGAGGGGAGAATTCCACAGGGAAGGGTCACTGGCCGGGGCAGGGTTTGAGACTTGTTGCCTTTTGATGACAAACTCCTTGTACTGCACACAGGCTGCTCTCCTCTGCCTCGGCCCCCTCCCACTGCCCTGGTCTTGCCGTGGCCTCGCTGACTAACTGGTGGCCGGTAAGCCAGCTTGATTTTCGAGAAGTGCTGTTTGTCTCAGCTCCTCCTGCTTCTTTCCCGTCATGGAATGGTATTTTCTTCCCAGCCCTGAAATGCGGGCTTGTTACAGCTCTTTCACAGGGTAATTCACATGAGGAAACGGAGCAAAGGGTCCCAAGAAGAGCAAGCAGCAGGAACATGGGGTGGGGGGTAGGGGCTGTGTGGCAGCACCTGACCTCTTTTCTAAGTGTGAGGAGGGGGCAGGAGGTCCTCCAGAACTCCATCTTGGTCAGCTGGTCCTCGGAGGCTCAAACACAAAGGGGTCACAGTGTTAGACCCAAAGGTTCACAGGTAAACTAGGAGATACTGTGGGTACATGGCCAGGACTCACAGCTTGTGTTGGTTAACTTCTCTTCCCTGTGCTGCTCTGGACGATAAAACGAATTCCTGACATAAACACAAGAGCCTGGTGTGGCAGAGCTGGTCTCCTGGAAGGACAGGGCTAAGGTCTGCCTCCTGTGGGAGGCCCGTCTGCCCGAGCACACTCACGGCCCAGGCCAGTTCACACCCTCATGGCACCACCTGGAGACTCTGGAAGGACCATTCTCAAGGTCCCCTCCCATTCCAGAAGCTTCTAGGACATCTTCAGGGTGACCTGTTACTTCCAAGTCAGAACGTTCACCTGAGCCCACCGTTATCCCCAAAGCCAGCCCCTCCTTTCCGCCCATGGCGGCCTCTTACCCATGCACTCCACGTGTGCACCGCGGCCACCACAACACTCGCTCCCCTGCTCCACACCAACAGACCCTGACGCCTACCCAGTCTCATCACCCGGGTCTCACACAGCCCTTGAACGACTGCCTTTGAAGTGTTTCAAGCATCCTGACAACACGCTCTCTCACTCTTTAGCTCGGTCTCCTCACGACCCTCCCCAAACCAGGCTCATTTCTACTCCACTCTGCTTCGTGCTCTCCCTCGTCAAGCCTCATGTGACCTGCCTCTGCTCAAATCCTTTCCACACTGGGCTTCAGGAAGAATCTTCTAACTACCCCAGTTTGGAGGGATTTCTTCTCTCAGAATTCCTACTACAAGCCCTACAAGCTCAGCAGGTGATTAGTCTCTGTCTCACGTACATTCACCTGGCATTCCAGGAGGACTGCAAGCTCTGTGAAGGCGGACGGAGACTGCTTCTCCTTCACCACTCCTTAAGTATTAGAGCGTTTAATAGATTAAGCTGCCGTGCACATGGAAATAAAAGGTGTTTCTTAAAGTCAAAACAACCAGCTATGGGTTACCCAACGGGGACCCTCAGTTGCACGTCTGTCGTGCTGGCAGTGTGCCCACCAGACCCGTCCCCAGCATCATATGTCTGAGGCTGACAGCCCTGAGCAGAAGTCACCTTCTCCTCTCAGGTCCCAGCAGGTTTATTAGGGTCATAACCCTTAGCAAAGAGCCTGGGCGTACAATGGCCCAGCGTGTGTAAGCTCTTTGTGGCCATGTCCCACGCAAAGCGGACCAGCAGCAGCAGAACGGATGGAGAGCCGGGGGTCCTTGAGAAGGTAAAGAATCTATGACTGCACTCAGTGGGGTGGAAGAGAAGAGGAAGCAGGGGTTAAAGAGCGGAATGCGGGCGGGTCTGTGCCAGACCCGGATGGGTGCGGCTGTGTGTGTAAGCACCAGGCGGGGGCTTGCCCAGCCAGAACAGTCACCGTGGAGAACCAGCTACACTGCAGTTTTGGAGATCCATTTGCAAATGGCTTTCTGAGTTGGCACCATTTTCATTAGAATCTCCAATGGTGGCCGCCTGGGTGGCTCAGTGGGTTAAGGCCTCTGCCTCCGGCTCAGGTCATGATCCCAGTATCCTGGGATCGAGCCCCGCATCGGGCTCTCTGCTCAGCAGGGAGCCTGCTTCCTCCTTTCTCTCTGCCTGCTGCTCTGCCTACTTGTGATCTCTGTCAAATAAAATCTTAAAAAAAAAAAAAATCTCCAATGGTGGTAAACCTTTAAACATAAAGGGTGTATTTTACGTTTAGAAATGGTCATTCATGGAAGGAAATCAGGAGAACAGGAAGTGACCAGGCTGTTTATACTGATTTTATTTGAAGATGAGTTGTGAGAGGTTCCCAGGTGTGGCTGACACTGCCTCTGGAGGCAAGTCCCTAGAGAGGAATTATACATTTACTCTGAGTAATCACTGGACTGTCTAGTTATCTGAGGTGGTTTCTCTGAAAGATAATAATGTTATAGGTGTAGAAATTTCATGAAAAAAAAAATGCCCCTTTTTATAGTCGTAGAATGTGACTGCATGAGGCTGAGAACTGCTTCGGGAGGGGGAAACAGGCAGGTAGGGGGGCTGAGAAGATAAGGAAGGTTTCAGAAAGTGGCATTTGAAGTCAAGGCTGTAAATCTAACCAAAAGTGACTTCTTCCCAGCCCCTCTGGGGAGAAAGCACAGGTCTGGGGTACAAGGCACCAGGTGGTGGCCCCCACAGTCCCGCTCTGTGGTCCAGCCAGGCACCCTGGTTCAGAGATCAGTGGATAAGGAGACTGGGCGTGTTCTTCCCAGAACTTGGCCCTCTGCAAAACTGCTAAAAATAGCTCCCAGGGCAGGAGGCCCCCCCCGGGGGCTGTCAGAAACAAAGCCGAGACTGTTCTGAGTGCTAACTCGAGATGATGGTATGGTTTTCTCACATTACCCAGAAAAAGCAGGAAAAAAACCTGCCCTGGCTTCAATTCTGACAACCAAGAAAGAGGCTGGATCCTCAGGCCAGTCTGTCTATAGTCTGCTCTGTGCCTAACGGACCTGGCACCCATCTCCTTTGTCCCAAGGAGACTCAGTTATGAAAGGGGTGGGGGCAGGCAGAGGAGACTTTTAAAAGCTGAGTTTACCTTCTGAACAAGAAAGGGAACATTATATATCATACAGGGGGTTAGGGATGAGGGATCGACACATTCAGGTCTCAGTTTCCCCATCTGTAAAATGAGGAATTGGACTAGATGACTGTCAGTCCCATGAGTCTATGAATAAAAACTTAAAACAAAAACTGATAGTCGTGATTATTACTGAAGGGAGGGGGACTTGGTTTTAGGAGCTTGCCTGAATTATGGAATAATGTTGCCAAGTGATATTGAAATGGACAGTGTAGGAACTTATCCTAGGAAGGCCGCTGTGTGGCCACAGTGGGCCTCTTTCCCCAACCCTGAGGGAAGAGGGGCGTCTCTGGCCTGCTCTCTGGGCTCGACTGCATCTTCCTCTAAGGAGGTTCTTCATCTGAGAGGTGACAGTTCTCTGTCCCCAATAAATGCAAAAGCTACCTGCGAAGAACCAGGAAGGAGGCAAGCAGCCACTGCAGAGCACGCTCTGTGGGTCACTGGTGTTGGCACTGCAGGAGGCTGAGTCTCCGCCCCCCATCGCGCCTGGGGAGGGGGGCGGTGTGTGAGCACCTGATGGGGGCCGCCTGCGTACTGTCAGTCATTGCTATCAAAGCGGGAGCTAGGATCGAGGGTAATTAATCATGCTCCTTCTGACAGGAATCCAGGGCCTTATCTGTACCCCAAGAAATGCCACTGGTCTCTAGTTCCCTCCTCAATAAAAGAGACTGACAGTTCCAACAAAGAACGCCCTTATCAGATTTCAGCCAGGGAGCCTGAGGCAGCCCGAGGGACAGTGTAGAAAAGGCTTTTATGAGGGCCAGGGACCCTCATAGCCAGGCTGTGGGGCTCCTGGGGCTTTAACCCTTGGGTGGTGGGAATGCCGCAGGGCACTGGCACTCGCCAGGCCAAAGCTGTCATCAGAAGTTTCCAGCCAGATGAAGCTAAACAAAAAAATATCCTGCTCCCTGGCACTTTGCTCTCCTTCCTGCCACTCAGACTGCAGAGACAGAGCTAGGGCAGGGGTGAGGGCAGATGGAGGAGATGGCCTCCTTGGGCAATGGAGGCAAAGATGGGAGATGGCAGGAGTGTGGGAGGGAGGGTCACTTTCTCCCCA